TGCAAGAACCAAAACCCTAATTTGACTGGCTTAGGAGGATGGTTGACTGTGCAACCCTTGAGTAGACTTGAGCAAATTGAGATGATGCTTGTCAAAACTTTGAAGAATATGGGAGGGCAAATTTTGGGGTACAACACCCTAGTATGTGTTTATAAATAGACTGCTGGTAGTTGTCATATTTTTAATCTTTCTTACAGCTTTTGTAGCCTTCATTGTAGAGCAATAAATATATTCTCCCATTTTTCATGTGTTTCATCACCTTGGGCACTAACAATTGGTATCTAGAGCCCGGTTCAAATCCACATGGAAACACTGGAAACACAAGTGAAACGGTGAGGCATTGTGTGATTGATTTTGTTTCTTGAATTTGTGTTAAATATTGAACGAAATCGTAACATGATCACATTTTCGGATTCTGTGGGATTTGGAAACTTTGTGTTTGATGAGATCTGAGTGACTTACACAAAGTTGAAGATGAACGAAAATGGTAGTTTAAGCACTAAACTTCCACTGCTCGATGCAAACAACTGGAATCGCTGGATGATTCAAATGCGTGTGTTTTTTGGAGATTAAGATGTTCTTGATCTCGTCAATGATGCTTATGTTTCAATTGCATTTCCAGGAAAATGCAACTGATGCGCAAAGAAATTCTTAGTGTGATATGAGGAAGTTGGATCAGAAGGCTTGTTCTATAGCCATCAATGTGTGGATGTGAACGTGTTTGATAAAATCTTTGATTCAACGATAAAGAAGGATGCATGGGACACACTCATTAGGTGTTACGGTGGTGACACATAAGTGAAAAAGGTGAAACTTTCGTATCTATGAAAGAAGTATAAGTATCGCAACATGAAGGACAAAGAGAAGGTATCTCAGTACATCTCTAGAGTGATTCTAATGAAATGAGATGAAAGCTTGTGGAGAAACTCTTTCTGAATAAGTAACCACTATGGAGATATTAAGGTCTCTTACCCATCAATTTGATTACATTGTTGTAGAAATTGAAAATTCTAAAGATTTGGTTGCTCAAATCACTTGACTGGAAACAAACAATGGCGGATAGATTTTGACTCCAGAAGGAGGACAAAGATCAGATATGCTGATGATAAGTACCTTAATGCATAAGGTATGGTAAATGTCAAAGTCAAAGTAAAGAATGGGAAGACTATTCATGAAGGATGTTTGGTATGTTCTTGTAATTAAGAGCAATCTGATGAGTGTAGGTCAGCTCATTGAGAAATGTTTCTCATTTGTTATGAAGAATAATCTCTTGAAGTTGTATGATTCCAATCAGAAGCTGATTATGAAATATGAACAGAGAAGCAAGGGAACATTCAAGTTGAATGTGGAGACATCTGAAGCAGAATGCCTTAGTGCATAAGGCACTGAAGTTGATAGTAAGTTGTTGCACAAGAGGTTGTGGCATCTCAACTACAAGAGTTTAGGGAATCTGATTTCTAAGAAGCTCGTGCATGGAATTCCAAAGACTGTGAAGCCTGAGAAGTCATGTGAGGTATGCATGAAAGGCAAGAAATCCAGATTTCCATTTATGTCGGAAGTAGCCCCAAGAGAAAAGCATGCTTTAGGAGTAGTGCTTTCTGACGTGTGTGAACCATTTTCAGATCCTTCACTTGGAGGAAACAAGTTTTTTGTGTCTCTTGTGGATGATTTCAAAAGAATGACATGGATAAAACTTAACAAGTTTAAGCATGAGGTTTTTACCGAGTTCCAAAAGTTCAAGGTGAAGGCTGAGAAATAAAGTGGTCAGAAGTTGAAAATTCTCAGAACAGATGGTAGAGGTTAGTATAACTGTAGAATTCCATAAGTTTTGTGAGGAGAATGGAATTAAGCATGAGGTTACTTCTCCTTATACTCATCAACAAAATGGTCTTGTTGAAAGAAGAAATCATATTTTGCTTGATATATCGAGAATCATGCTGGAGAAGAAGAAGCTTCCTCACACCTTATGAGGAAAAGTTGTTGCCACTACAACATATATGCTCAACATATGTCCAACAAAGAAGCTGAAGAAAATAGTTCATATTCAGAAGTGGACCGGAGACAAGCAAAGTGTTAGCCATCTGAAGGTGTTTGGTTCTATACGTTACAAACACATTTCAGAAGCTAGAAGACAGAAGCTGGATAATAGAAGAAAAGTAATGTTACTGGTGGAGTACCACAGTACATGTGTGTACAAGCTTTATTTTCTAGAAACTAATAAAGTTGAAGTCGTCAGAGACGTCATTGTAAAATAGTCAAAAGCATGGGATTGGAGAAAGTCTCAATCCATTTTTGGTGTAGTGCCAACACAAGAGCTAACTTCTGAAGATACTTCAGAAGGTTTTGAAGATGAGTCAGAACTTAAAAGTTCTGGAGACGATTCAAAGTCAGAAGATAATTCTGAAGACTCTGAAGATGATTCAGAGGGTGAATCTGATTCTGATCTATATTTTAACGATGATCCAAAATCTAGTGGTAATTATGCTTCTGGAAGGTAAAACTCTGAAGTCGTAGTTCTGTAGGACAAGCTTCTGGAGGTGATCATGTTTCTAAATGTGGTGGTTCTGAACGAGGTCCAGAAGCTAACACAGTTCCAGGTTTTCTAGACGATTTAGAACAAGTTCAGAGGCCACAAAGAATCAGACAAATACCAAGAAGATTTGCAGATTTTAACATGTTGCAAGACACCGAAGTAGACTCTGATAGAGAGGTCATTCAGTGTGTCATGTTAGTAGACTCTGAACTAGTGGGTATTGAAAAAGCTCTCAATAACAAAGTATGGTTGAATCCCATGAAAGAAGAACTTGAGGTTATAGAAAGAAACAAGACTTGGAAGTTGACTAAGATTCCAAACAAGAAGAAAGTAATCAACGTCAAATGGTTTTTAAGGTAAAATTAAGCCAGATGGATCAATTAGCAAGCACAAATTAAGGCTAGTGGCTAGAGTTTTTCTTCAGAAACCTGGGCTAGATTACCTTAAGTTGTTTGCGCCTATAGTTAGACATGAAATAATCAGACTGATGATTGTTATAACTGTAAATATGAATTGGCCTCTGATGCATCTTGATGTGAAGTCTGTATTTCTGAATGGTCTATTACAAGAAGAGGTTTACGTGTCACAACCTTTTAGATTTGTGAAAAAGAATCAGGAAGGGATGTCGTACAAGTTGCATAAAGCCTTATATAGATTGAAGCAAGCGCCCAAAGCTTAGAACTTGAAGATTGATTCATTTTTCAAGAAGCATGGGTTTCATAAATGTGAGATAGAATATGGCGTTTATGTGCAGCATCCTGGAAGCAATATGATTCTGGTGTCTCTCTATGTTGATGACACATTGTTAAAAAGGAATTGTCTAGAAGATATAGTCAAGTTTAAGGAGGTGCTGATGAATGAGTTTGAGATGACTAGTATGGGAAATATGGTATATTTTATAGGGATGTAAATTCTGTACTTTGAGAAGGATATCATTTTACACCAGCTGAAATATGAACTTGAGCTTCTAAAGAGATTTAAGATGCAGAATTGTAAGACTGTTGTCACAACTTCAGAAACCAATCATAAATTGGATTCTGATTCTGAGGGTGAGGATGTGGATGCTACAACCTTCAAACAATTGGTTGGTTCTCCGGGTTATCTATGTAATATCAGACTTGATATTTACTATGCAGTTGGAATTGTTAGTAGGTTCATGAGTAAACCTAAGTGGTCCCATTATCAAGTTGTTGTCAGGATTCTGAGGTATATCAAAGGAACTTTGAAGTATGGAGTATTATTCCCTTATGGAAGAAAGACTAATTCATAGTTGATGAGTTACTCAGACTCTGATTTGTGTGAAGATAAAGTTGATAGGAGAAGTACTTCTGAATATTTGTTTAAGTTTCTAGGAGGTCTTATTTCTTGGTGTTCGAAGAAGCAATATGTTGTTGCATTGTCAACGTGTAGCTGCATGTCAAGTTGTTTGCCTTCTGAATATATTGCAGGATCTGATGATCAAGGTAGACAAGCCGCTAAAGTTGATGATTGATAACAAGTATGCAACCAACCTTGCCAAGAACTCAGTGTTGCATGAGAGAAGCAAGTATATTGAGACAAAGTATCATTTTCTGAGAAGTCAAGTCCATAATAGCTGACAGATGTTCAGACAAAGGCGATCAAGACAAATCAATTTCTCCATTTAAGGGATGAAATTGATTTTGTTAATTTTGATTAGGAAATTCTAAATTAAGGAATGATATTGAAGGATAATTTAATATTTTAGTATGTTGTCTATGTGGTTCTAGTATCTAAGTATAAATAAATTAGTAATAACTATCATATTTTTAATCTTTTTTACAATTTTTGTAATCATCATTACAGAAAAATAAACGTTTTCTCTCATTTTTCGTATTTTTCATTATCTTGTGTAGAAACACGACCACCTTCAAAATTCTCATTGTTGTCGGGTATTTTGTCTCCGTCCCAACTTTATATGATGTTTGTGACATCTATGTGCCGTGTGAACGAGGGATTGTGCTTGGCTGATTCCTGGACAAAATATAGTACTATCAATCCCTTGCTTGTTATTCCCTCTTTTATGTCCACACAATTTTTGTACTAAAAAAATCAATATATTATTAAGCTGCTTTGTTGGTCATGAATTCGGAATATTTATCAATGAATTGGAAACTAATACAATGAGTTGAATTTTTCCCTCCCCTTCCTTACAAATTTGAATAAAATGAACCACTTCACCGCATACTTTAGTTTACATAGTGTAAGCACTAACTCTTTATAAGTCAAGCTAAACTCTTGTTTCTTAAAATCCATAAAGAAAAAAAAAAAGGAAAATGAGGACATGAAACTTGGACCTTTCTATAACGATAAAGTAAAACTCCATTAAACTTGGACCTTTCTATAACGATAAAGTAAAACTCCATTAAACTTGGACTTGGACATGTAGTTCTAATGATTTTTCTGTTATTAAACATTTAAACTCTTGATCAGTTTCATCCCATACAGTTCAAGGGAAAAAGTGCGAGCTATCGAATGTGAAGTTCTCTCCGTCAAATTGAAACTGTTGAAATGGAAAATCTAAATCAGTTGGTGTGTTTGCAACAGAAGTAGCTGGTGGAATAATCTCACTAGCCATATTCGGAAACACACTAGGAGATGGAGACATGGAGAAGTGACTTATTCCAGAAGTTGCAGGGGAGTTGAAGTTTTCAGCAAAGTTACTTTCAAGTACATGGTTTGAATGGAAATGGATTAATGGCGCAAATGATTGGTCGAGGAAATCTAGATTCTCTGTCTGAACTGTTAGACCTGTTCGCAGGTTCACTACTTCTTGGTTTGTGTTCACATTTGTTTCTTGATTTGCATTTGGATTTATGCTTGGAATTGGAACAGCCACATTGGAAACACTTCCTATTGTGCATGTATGGTTTCCTCGATACGTGATTTCGAAGATTGTTGGATCTTCGTCGGATCTTTGTACTTGCTTTGTTGCCAAACAACCTTGAATGTTTCTGTGAGTGCATCTGTAATAACCTCTGCACATGTACAAACACATAAATTTTTTCTCATATAGTTAGTTCATTTTCAATCTAATACATTCTCTTTAATACCGATACTCTGAAAAATGTGTGTCTGTGTCACTTGTGATCACGTTCAATTCATTCATTTTTTTTAAATCATTACTAATGTGAACGTGTAAGTGTCTGGTGTCGTATGCATGTCTGTGACTCTGATTCATAGTATACATACCTAGGATGAGTGGCTCCAAGGATGTCTTTTTGGCCATATTTTCTCCAACTATATCCATCATCAAGAGGACCTTCCAGTGCTATTCCTGGTGTAACTCGAATTTGTTTTGTCCATCTAATTGGTAGAGTGTTTCTAACATGAAAAATGATAATTAGTGTAAGATAACACACATGAAAAATGAAAATTGATATTTATTATGAGACGAAGAAATTTACGTACCTTTTTCTTGGAGTATTGTGATCATCACGGTTCTTAAAATCTCGGTCGGAGTCTTCACTTCGTGGACTAGAGCTTAAAGGAGGCGAATCCAACATTCTGATCATGGCTAGTGTTCCCGAGGCTGATGGCTGTTGTTGTTGTTGTGATGATTCAGCGAGATTATTAACGCGTCCTTTACGGTTAACAATTTCAAGTGCCTTTTCAAATGTGGATATGATCTTTTGTATCAAAACATCACGTGTTTCATGAATGGAAGAAGAAGAAGAAGATACATTGAGATAAATTCTAAGCTTTTTTGCCAACTCCAATCCTTGTAATAGCTCATGTATCAAACTCTTTAAATCTCCCATGATAGAAGGATTAGAATAAAAAAAGAAACAAAAGTGTTGGGATTTGAGAATGAGTGTGAGTTATGTTATGGGTTATGGGATATAAGAGGGGTGTATTACGAAGAAAGAAAATAGGTGGGAAAAGAAAGAAACAAAAAAAGGAAAGAAAAGTTTGACTAAGAAATTGTGGCTAGTGAATGAATTTTCTTTGGTCTTTGGTCATAGTGAAAGAGTATATTGGAGAAACGTCTAAATTCTAATTCATTGACCTTTTCTTGCCGCGGGAAAAACCGTGGATTCTCATTGACGCACAGTTATATGATACCATAATCATTATGGTTTAACCAATCAAAACGAGAACGTTCTAGATCTTAAATTGGGAGCAGTAGAATAATTAGGACACAAAATTTGAGAGAAAGAAGTCAGTGAAAAGAAGGGTAAAGTTGAGACAAAAAAAAAGAGGTGGAATGTTCAAAGACTTTTCCGCGTCGTTAATAACGTTGCTTCCGGAAGTTTGTGACGCTGCTTTTTCATGTGTGCTCCCGTCACTCGAACGTTCCAACTTTTAGTTTCAACCCTTTGTAACATGAGAATATCAAGTGATTACTTAATTAAGGGGAAGCTTAATGATTTTCATCGCAATCCTTTTTCTTTGAATTTGCCATTTTAAAACAAACAAACATCAATCAATCTCTAAATGACTTTACATAGATAAGATTTTAAAATCGACTAATTATATAGGTTTATTAAATATAGAATCTATTTTGATAAACAACTTATTTGCAGCTAAGTGCTTATTAAAATAAATATTTATAAATTATTTCATCTATAAGGTATTGTTAGCTCTGTGTATGAGAAACCTTCACGATTTTTTCTCTAAAAAATGTTTCATTGGGTTAAGGAATGTGGGTATTATATATAAATTATCATTTGTCTCGATTCCTAAACAATATGGTTTTATTTGGTGACGAAACAATTGCCCCCAATTGAGGTTAAGGGGTAGGGTGCGAATATGCACTACTACAAATAACACATTAAATGTCGGACGCGAAATATAATTTATCTCAGCATTAAAAGCGGTGTGAGTAAGGTCATCATAATAAATAAAGACTTATCACCTTGGTGTTTAAAACACTAGGGTCTAATTTTATTCGCACATGAGTTCGATCCTCAGCTTGTGCACTTTTATTATTTACAAAAACTAGTGCATTTTTTATCTCCGTTTATTAAGAAAACTGAAGGGTTATTTGTTTTTTTTTAATAAAACTCGTTACATTGTTTACACAGAACATTAACAATATAATTTGTTTACCAACTACAGTGTTTATCCAGAATATTACATTTTTTACTCAGAGAAAATTATTTTTCGATGAAGGTCATATGTTGGATCTTCAATTCCTTGATATTTTAGGCAAGATCAAATGCATGGAAAACTCTTTTCTACCAACAAAAAAAAGGGGCCGTCACTATTAATTTTTATCCTAAGAGAATGAAATTTAATAGGAAACCCTAATTTTTCAGAGATTATAAGTTTGCGGGTTTATCAGATGAAAGGAATGTGTTAGGCACCCTTCATATCACTTGTTCTCAAGTGGCTCCAATATTAGGTCTTAAGGTAGGATGGGAATTTGACAGTTGACGTTTCTAAATATTTCATATTTTGGAAAGGGTCTTAATTTTAATCAGGGGACTCGCCTCAATTTTTAAGTCGCGTGCCTACGTATCCTCTTATGAGGAATCAGAGTCCAAATTCATAGTTCGAAGTTGTAATACAGTGGGAGAACTGACTTTTTGTTTTGCGTCTTATCGCAAATGTTGCTTATAGCAAGAGTTGCCACCGACTTTTCTTTTATCCAATAAGAAAACGGTGAAAAGAACAGGAAAGACATTGAGATTCTTTTTGAGTTGGGGGGCCTGGTTATGAAAAGGGAAGGTGTTAACACCCTTTTCATTCGTAGTTATCTACGAGCTCTTAATTGCTAGCTCACTTTATTTTGAAAATACTTTGTGTTGTGTGTTTGAAAAAATATTTAGAAATGCCAATAGTAAGACAACTTTGTAATGATTCTCAAGATGCGTACAAAGTGTTTATTTGAAAATATTTTGAAAAGTGTTTTGTGTTAAAAAGATGTTTTGAAATGTTCGCGAGCAAGCGATTAAGATCTATCTACCTACTCAAAGTCTTTATCGTTCTTTTCCTCCTCATTTAGACAGTGTTATCCTACCATTAGTTAGTAGGAAGCTCTATCGTTGGATGTGAAGGGACATATGCGGGTCATCGTACAGTCATAAAGGAAACTCATAGGGGAGCTTTAGTAATTCGTAAGGGACTAGGTCGTTTACCGAAAGGCAGCATCGAAGGGTCATCGAGGGACTACGGTCTTTTTAATCGAGGGACAGTGCTAAAGCGTCCCCACGTTCGAGCGACATGACTATTTTCCGAGGAAACAAATGAGGTTACACTGGAGGTGTAAGTGTGAAGAGTGATTTGTTTTCAGTTAATTTATCTTGAAATTAGGGTTTTCTACGATCGTTTCTAATCTTGCCATACAAACCCTATTAGCATACATCTAGCAGTTATATACAAGACATAAAAATATAAGTGCAGAAAAGTAAAATTCTACGCTATTACAAGACTTCGTGAATGGGGGTACAAATAGTAAAATGGAGGAAAAGGCAAAACCGTAATTAAACTATTACAAACTGTAAGCAGCTACATAATCGAAAATAGGCGAAATAATAAAATGCACAAAAGGTAAAAAAGGGAAAGGCAAAGAGAAATTGTCTGGTGATTTTTGATAAAAAAAGGTTTGATGATTAACCTAATAACTTAATTAATTTTAATTAATTAAAAAGAAAATTGATTAAAAATCTAAAAACACTAAGTTGATTTTAATTGGAAAAAGAAGGGTTTAGTGAAAAAAACATAAAAAACTAAATCAATTTATTAAATAAAGAACTAAAACCTAATTAGGGTTGATTAAATTAAAAACCTAAAACTAAATTAGGGTTTATCAAATTAAAAAGGTTTATCGAAAAGGTTTGTAAAAAAGGTTTTGTAAAAAAAGGTTTTAGGAGGAAGAGTAAGAAGAAGAGAGAATTGTCAGCAAAATAAACCAAATGGTAGGGGTGGGTGTTGAACCCACGCCCTTGGAATCCTCAGCCAACACGTCCACCATTGGGCCAAGCGCGCTTTCATGATGGGAGATAGCTTCAACGTGTTTTATAAACTGCAAGACAAATAAATCAGAAAAAACATCAAAATGCCAAAAGGCTGGGATCGAACACACGCCTTGGCATACTAAGACCTTATCGTGCGCGCTTCAACCGATGGGGCGGTAATACATCTGTTTATTTAAATCAAATAATAAATATATTATATAAGAATTTTTCCTGAACCAGAGAGGCGCCGAAGCCCTAGCTCTGGTCGTCTTCTCCGGTAACCTCCTTCTTTCCATCCTGCAAAAATCAAGGATGTTAAAAAATCAAAAGTACCCTACCCCCTAAATTATGGGCTGTGAGTTCAATGGGACAGTTATTCTGAGCTAAAGCAGCCTGGTTTAAGAGCTATGGTGAAACCGATGTAGATCAATGCAAATATGGCATATCACTATTTCGATTGCATGGGATCCTTATGATGATCCAGACTTGTACAAGCACATCTCAAGAATAAATTAATGGCATTAGCATGGCTTAAAAAAATAAAAATAAAAATATGAATTTTGTAAAGATCATGAAATTGGTGATGAATGCATGCGTATTTCGTGAGCTTTGAACCATCAAACTCGATCTATTCTTACTCTGTATGATGGCTGGGAGTGAATGGAGTGGCTTGTTTGTAGTGAAAAGGACTATGAATAAAGTTTCAAGTTCTTTAGGGTTCTTTGAAAAATTGAGATTTTTAACAAGTTTCTTTTGAGGCAAGGGTTTCGTCTGTGTTTGTATGAGAATGAATGGGAATATATAGTACAAACTAGGTCAAAGATATGGGCTTGGTCTTTATGTAAGAAAGGCCTATATTTTATCTTATTTATTTTTGAAATATTAATGAATAAATCAAAATAATTAAAATAAAAATAGGTCAAGGGGTGCATGAACAAGACTTGAGGTGTATAAGGAGTATATAACACGTTTGGACTCGGAAACAATGGCCCAATAGCCCAAAACATCAAGTTTGCCCAATTTGAACTTCTTGCATTTTCTCAAAATTTCCCAACTTGCACTTGTCATAACTCTCTCAATTTTTATATTTTAAATATGATCTTAGAATTTTTGGAAAACTCAAGATGTCCTCTATAATCCTTGTTTTGATCATTTTTGTATTTGGAGACTTTATCTTGACGTAAGTTGCCTTGAAAAAAAGTGTCTTTTTGTTGACTTTTGAAATGACCTTTAATGTATTGGCTCATATCTCTCAAATGAAGCATTTTCTGAACTTGAGCTTAGAGAGTCAAAGTGGTAGGTAATTGAATTTCCTTCAAAATAAGCTTTGGTGGGGGAAAACTGATGAAGCATGTGAAATTTACGCTTGGTCAAAGTTTAGTTGACTTCTTCTAAGGAAACCCTAATTTGGCAACTTTGACTTTTGATGATTTGAGGGCTTTTATTGAGGAATCATGATCAGCCCTTGATCAAATGATGAGTATGACTTCAAAATGTTGATTTTGACCAAAAATCTTGAAGTTTGACTGTATGTTGACCATAGTTGACTTTTTATCCAATATAGTTGATTTTTAGTCATCTAAGTCATTGACTGAGCAAACTTGTGATTCAAGGCTTGAAACTTGGTAAGAGAATTCTTGAAAACATATAAGAGACCATGGAAACAACTTGAGGCATTTTAAACCCAAACTTCCTTGTGAACAATGAAACCCTAGTTGTGAATCCATTGCTTAGGAGGAGAATTTGTCTGATCAATTCTTTGAGCAACCTTGAGCATTTGAGAATCCTAGGAGAGTTTCTTGAATAAAATGAGAGGGAAAATTTTGGGGTACAACATAAGTGTTTTGTTAGTTTTTTAT